AGAATGTGAAGATTTTTTTGTTGGGGGGAAATTATGGCTGGAAATGATCAACTTACATAATGATTTTGTGGCTATATTTCTTCACTATGTTTCTCATTTGTGGTTAATATTTTAAAATGGGTTGACAAACAGGAGAAGGTGGTGGGATTTTTGACCTTGAAATGGAAGCCATAATTAGAGGCAATATTAGTGGGGAGCTAGAATGGCTAATAGGGCCACACCACACATACATTCCACCTTGGTTAGGAGTTTGAAGGGATCCCATGAACACATAGACACGTATTTCTTTCATTTGCTACAATTGTAGGCCAAACATTAGGGCACCATTTGCCATATCAAAGCTCCACCATATATATACAATTAAAGTAAAGTTAGTGCATTTGCCTTTTCCTATTTCATTCAAAACCAAGTACAACCACTCTTGATTTATGCATTTGTCTAATCAAACTCGTATAAGTTTTGATTTGCCTAATAAAGCTCATATATAGTTTTATGTCCAAGTATATTCTCTCTTTTTCTTTCTTTTCTTTTTCTTTTTTTAATATCGGGGCGGTGTTCAGCCCTTATAACTGACTAGCGGATAGACATAGTTCTTAATCTCCACCTCGGGTCCAGGCAAATGTCCTCTTCATATGAATTGGGCAAATGTCTAATACTACATGGGGGTTATGATCAATGAACATTATATTCTCTATTAGTTAATGCACTTATTTGATTAAGAATAATTTTTCATGTTGGTATCTTTTCATTGTGTTTTTTAAAGACTAGATGCATATATTCACTTTTGTACTTTATTAAAAAATTTTAATATCTTAAACTTTGTTAGAGACCTATTATACCATTGAAGTTGCGAATTTTGATAATATCTTAACTTTTATATGTAATAATAATTTTTTAGTGTTTTTCACTTTTATATGCAAAATATTAATTTGATGTGTTAATACAACTTTTAGAACAATAAATTTTATAATTTTCAACTATCCAATAAGTGTTTAATAATAAATTTGATTATATTAATGAAATAATTTTACACATTGAAGTGTTTAATTGATAAAAAAAAAAAAAATTCAGAGCGTCTCAAAATTTTTTACGTAAATGATAGAAGTAAAATTTATGCACTTAACCATTTTTCTAACGTGCAATGAAATGTGAATCTCATATATAAAAAGTTGAACCCAAAAAACTCCATTTTCTAAGATTATTTTAATAAATTAGATTATTCATCTCTTCAAAATTGGATTTAATTATAATAATTTTTTACAAATTAAAATTTTGGAATTTAGAATTCTAATTTTTTTAACCACACACTTAAAATATAGAATTCGATTGAATTTTGCCATAGTGTTAATTTGCACTATCCTAATAATAAAATGAGATCAATGGGTGAGTGCTAAAATCCGATCCTCACCAATTATAAGTCTCCCTCTTTAATGTTTAAGAATCTAGTAATAACTTATTTTAGATTTTCTTTCTATAAATTATTAAATGATGGTTGATGTAGTTAGATTTTCTTTCCATGAATTGTTATAATTTAGTTGTTAAGAAGGTGGCAGAGGACAAATTTGGTTCTAGAAATTTGCAGAAGCATGCATTTTTATTAAAGAGACATTAATGCAATTCATGACAAGCTTCTTCTCCTACATAAATTGTCTTCCAAGTTCATATACCATCCAAAAGTGGAACATACACAATGGTCATGGAAAAGATAGGGCAAACAAATGAAAAGTGGTAGGTTTGTGAAAGGGGTGAACAAAGCATGTGCTATTCACTGCCTAATTGCCTATTGTTGCCTCCCAAAGGGAAATGGAATCGAACGAGGAACATGATTATTGAGTTTTAGACTCAATTACACTCCATCTATATTTGCTACTAATATAATAAGAAGTACTGGCTTATTGATTGTAATTTATATTTGAAGACATAAAAGTAGTTGATTAATAGTTGAATGAAATAGTAATTTAGTAGAAATTCTTAGGTAGATTCGGTCCGTCCACCACGTCAGCTATAGACCCACTCAATAAAATAAAGTCACATCAGCAACTTATTTTTTTACTTATTCTCTGTTAATTCTTTTACATTTTCCATTTGATTAGAGATAGAAAACCTAGTTGCTTGGTTTAGGAGTTACTCATGTGGAAGGGAAAAAAACAAGCTATTAATGTGATTTTATTTAATTGGGTGGATATATAATTGACATGGGAGACCGAGTCTATCTAAGAATTTTTCATAATTTAGGTTTCGCAAAATTAGTTGTTTTAATAGTTGTTAGCTGTATGAGTAGCTTTTTATAAAATATTAAAAGCAAAACATTACATGGGTTAATCTTTTATAAAACACTACCTTAACATCTAAAAGATAGTTCAAACGCTATGTTACTGAATATTATAAAAAATAACGTTAGACAAAACGTTAAAAGCTACTTAAAAAGTTACCCGGAACACAATCTTAATAAACTAATATATGTCTTATAATATAAGAGGTTTAAAGTTTAAATTTTAATGACCACCATATTAATGCATGAATGTATATATAAAATATTATAAAGTTCTGGGATTTCTGGATAAATTGATCCAAGTAATGATGGATGGACTTAATTATTGATTTTGACTATGATACATTAGTCTTCAAGCTAAGTTCATGGCATATATGGAAGAAAACAAAATTTGAAAGGAAAAAAAGAAAAACAAAATCAATGCACATGCGCAAGAATCTGAAAAGAATCAAGACCATACAACACAGTTTAAGTCAATTGCGTTACATCAATGGAAATTGTTGTATGATTTTCAAATATCACAAAAGAAATAAAATCTTTGGGTAGCCCATTTTACATACAGGAAGACAAGAACAGCAACAACATAATCACATATGACATGTCCATTATTATTACATGGGGCAGGGACTCATAATTCAACTCATTCTAGATGAAGGATATTCCATCCCTAATAAGGGATTTAAATTCAAAAACATTCATATATATAAATTATCAATTAAACAACCTTTTTAGCTTATTGTTTTTAGTTGTTACCAAAAAAAAAAAAAAAAAAAATATATATAAATTATCAATTAAACAACCTTTTTAGCTTATTGTTTTTGGTTGTTACCCCAAAAAAAAAAAAAAAAAAAAAAGGAACAAATCATTATTGGGTTGGATAAAAAAAAAAAAAAAAAAAAAAAGGACAAATCATTAGTTGGGTTGGGATCATTTGGGCTTGCTGGAGTTGGATTTTCATAGGCCCATTAAACATATGGGCTGGGGTTATTATCCCCAATTCAGGTTCACAACAACAAACTCTCTTCTATGCTTCTAAGGTGAAAATGGAGGCCCAAGTTTATGTCAGAGATGAAGTTTCTTGTCAATAAAACTGTAGGGAAGATTTTGGTGAATGATAATCAGTCTTTTATCCTTTCCATCAAACCAATAACATGGAGGGAAAAGACCACTTAACATTTAAGTGTTTCAAATTGTACAGTTGGAATCTACCATGGTACCAAACATGCACATTTGTCTATTTCATTTGCCACGTTAGAATGGTTATATTTCATACTTCCGTGTCTCGTCAAATAATGAGCGTAACAGTTACAAAAAATGTAAGTTAAGATATATAATAAGTCTTTTGAAAAATTTAAAAAGAAAAACGGTTACAATAAAAAAATTTATGCATTGGCCCTGAAAATTTAAATTTTAGCTTTTCAAATGTTAAAATTAGACACTCATTTTTTTTTTCTTTTTTTATTTGGCTTTCCAAATGTTAAGGTATAAATTTATATTCTCAAATAATGAAAATGACACTAAAATCTGGATAATGCCACGAAGGCCTGGATTGTAAGGATAAAATAAGGGTATAAAACAAGCAATTGCAAAAAAGCTACGTGGTGGGCCATGACTCCAACTATCCAACATCTACGTTGGCCTTTTAACCTCTGTATAGTCACGTGTCAACCATCTATTCAAGCCAAGTCTATGTGGAATTGGAAAAGAACAACGAACCAGAAGGCTAGAACCATCTACAGAATCCACCTCCCCCAGTTTCGCTTTCAGAGCGTGACTCGAACGCACTCCTCTGTTCTCCATAAATGCTAATTCCCTCCCCTATGATCAAAACTCTAGAAGGTTATAGTTAAAGGTATACAAATTTTAAAGCAATAAAATAAAATTACACTTCTAAATGAACTGCACAAACTATTTTTCTAAATTTAGTATTTACTACCTTCAATTTATTATCATTTTTTAAAATTTTTTATAACTAAGTTTTTTTTATAGTATTTAATTTTAGATATTTTAATTTAAAATCTTAAATTATATCAAATTATTCTTAAAACATTTATATAAAGAAATAAAATTTTCAAATACAAAATACATAAAATTATTCTTTTTTAAGAGGCATAAAATTATTTTTAACATTTGTAAAGATGAAATGTATAATATAACAACCTTAAATTCCAGACATATGCTATGCCGGTTGTGCAACAATTCTATAGTATTTAGAGTTTGATAAAACAGTGACAACTATCAAAATAACTAACACTTATTAAAATAATTAATTTTGTAAAGCGGCCTAAATTAAACTTTCTAACTAAGTCTTACTAGAAAATAATTGAAAACACATTTTGATTTTTCTTTTTTTTAAAAAAATTTCAATAAATAATACTTCAAACTTAACAATTAAGTAATATTTAAAAAATATATTTTTTTTTGGTGTATACACTATAGATATATAGATTAATTCGTGGAAATTAAACGGATTAAATAAATTATCACGACTTTATAAAATTCTTATAATTATAATTTTATAGATAAGGGTGTCATGTGTGTGGATATCTATTGCATTATCAATTTGTATATTTTTTTTTATGAGTTTTAATTTTTAATAAAAATAAAATAGAAAATGTTGATTTTTTGTTGGATAAAAAACTATCCGGTATCCGGAACTACAAGGATCGTAAGTGATGATTTTAGGAGAAAAAAGACAGGTTTTTTAATTATAATCGCACGCACCTCTCACGCACAAATACACACAAACCCAATAATAGATGTCGTCTCCTCCTCTATGAGCCGTCTCTCAGAGAATCTTCGTCTCTCGGTAATCACCAAATCTACCCGTTCTCTCTCTCTAAAGTTAGCTAATTTTTCTCTCTCTACAATTCGTGTCTGCAAATCTATCGCTCGCGTTTTCTTCTTTAAAACCCTAGCTTTGTTCCCCTCCATCATGGACGATGAATTTTTCCCCTCCACCTCCGAGGATAAGTTCCTCGACCTCGAATTGGACCATCGTTCTACTAACTCTACCGCCAACAACCGCCACCTCCGTCTCTTTGTTGACGATGACGACAATGACGTCGAAAAGCTTTACTTGGTTCCCTACAGGTTGGTCGATTCCGGCTTTACTTGTTTTTTCCTTTCGTGTTTGGCGGCTGAAGAAAGCAAGCGGAAGGAAATGAACATGGAATTTCATTTTCTTTTAACGATTGAGTGCTTAACTGGATTTCATTTGTGAAGTTGCATGCATGCTTAGTTTGTTTCGAGCCCTATAGTAAAGTATGTTTACCAGTATTAATAGATTTAATTTGTTATCGGTGGATTGATAATGAACTGCATTATTGGTGGAATTTTGGGAGGAATATAATGTTATGGTGTTCAATGCGGTTATTTATTTAATATTTAAGAGACTTGGTGGAAGAAAATTGTATCTTACTTGGGTTGTTCTGTTGTTTTCTTAAACAGTGTCTTGGCAGTGATTGAGCGCGTAACCTTATAGCTATGTTGATTTGTTTTGCAAATTGAAAATGGAATGTTTATGCATTTCTGTTATGTTTATACCAATTTTCAGGTGGTGGCGGCAGACCCAAATTGGTGCTAATGAAACGGGAGTGTTGTATGATGTGTCAGCAAGAGAAGTTGGTGGGGTGGGTCTTCTTCTGGATTTAAGGAAGGTAGACGATTACAGGAAGAGTGATAATAGTAAGGAAATATTTTCGTGGCATGAATATGCTTTGCTATCTGGTACAATGTGGTTGCAGGCACTGAAATGGTGAGGGGAATTGATTTATGTTACTGTAACACATTCCACCAGTGTTTTTTAATCCTATGAGTTAATTATTGTTATGATTTGCAACGCCTCATGGTCAAGCATGTGAAGTTGCCAGTTTGGGGCTTTGTAGGTTGCTGTTACTAAGCCATAATGCTTTAGGGAAGATGTTGTCTGAAAATAAATTTATGAGTTGGAAAGTAATATAATATTATTTAGTAAAACTTATTGCTGCATGCGGCATCTCGGATTAATAGAAAACTTGATTGGTCACATGTTTCCATGTAGAACTTAGGCATACGAGGTTGAAAGGGAAAGACAAGACAGACTTAGATCGTTATTTCATTGTGTGACATATTTCCCAATTAAGGTCTTTGAAAAGTGCTGTGGTTTAAAACCTTACAATTAGATTGTGATTATATGGTGAAATCTGATTATCTTGTGAGAAAATATCATATTTTTGTTGTTACACCAAAGAATACTTACCTGGCATGAGTTCAATACCAAGGCCTTACACCCCAATGAACCAACAAAAGAAAACTATACTATGCTGTTGTTAGAACATACTTTTTTGCTTAAGCATGGAATAATTGATGAGTTTCTGATTTTCATTCTTGACAGATGTCACAATAGATGCTTTTTGCCCTTTTGCAAAGGGTTCTGCTTTGATATTTTCTGTTAACTGAATTACTAGTCTATCATTATTTCTGCTTTGACTAATAAGACCATAGCAGATATTGGGGACTGTGTAAGCTCACAGCACCTATTGTAAATGATCGAACTTGGATATTTTGTGTGATAATATAATTAAACCATTATATGAAATGGTCTATGCTACTTGGCCTTGCTAGGAGAGTTGTATGCAATGGGAGAAATGAGAGTGGTTGGTATCTGCTGAAATAAGGCGAATGTGATGTGAATTTCCTGATTTATTTGAAGCCTGCTGTTTAAGGCTAAGTGAGCAGCAAGAAACCCTTGTGGTCCCTCTCAATAGGCTTGAATGATGTATAAGCACAGAATTCTAACCATGAAAAATAGTCCTTGCGCAAAGAATTCAATGAGCAATGACTGCTCACAAACTAAAAGACAAAGTCATGGCTAGTTAGCGACATTCTTCAGCATGAAAAGATTCCATAGGGTCTACAAATTTGTTTTTGTGATCTTAATTCTTTATATGAAAATTTCAAGGAGGAAAGGTGGCATGATGGGGAAATGAATGAATGACCCTGGGTTATATGAACGATCATATCTGTTGATTCATGTTATTGCACCTATGGACCATGGAAGATCAGCTACAAGAGCTAGATAGTTATTTTGTGAACAGTTTATATGGAGAGTAGGATAAAGGATTACATGTGGTGGTTATTATACTGGAGAAAGCTTTGATTAAAATTAAAATTATTAAATGTTTAAAACATAATCAATATTCATTATCAGATTGATGCGAATATCTGTTACATTGCCGTATCCATAACATATTATCTATACGTTTTCCAATGATAATATTTCTTAATGGGGATAAGATCAAACTGTTATAAAGAATTCATAAAATAAATAGAAATCCTGTTGAAATTATAAATTTTTGAACATTCGAAACATTTTAATTTTTCATGATAAGATTAATGTTAGTTACGCATTTCATATGGATTTAAGGAATCCTGAATGACCAATATTAGTAGAATCAAAGTGCAGCGGGGAAATTTTTGTGTAATTAGTAGCTCAAGGAAATCTAAATGATATGAAATTGTAGAAGTCCTCTTTTGTCTATATTGTCATGGTTAATTGTATCTTTTTGTCCTTACAAAGGTGTCAAAGGCATTCATAGTTTTATAATGTTCTAGAGATGGCACTGTTGCAATTTAAAGCAAAACAGAGTTCCTTTTGGAGTTAATAACTCCCTATTTTGCATTGATTTGTTCAACTCGTACAGGCATAGTGATTCTAAAGTAGCAGCGAAGGAAGTTCATAACCCTTTGCTTGCAGGAGGTGTCGGTAATTCAGAAGATGTCTTTCCCATACAAATCAGGCTTTCAGTCTCCTGGGAAACAAATTCTTTGATTGTGAAAATCAGTTTAAAGGTAAACTATTTCCTGGGCCTTTTTCTCTTGCACTTGCTGTCATTTTATTATTAAAGCTGATGTCGAACAATGATTGGTTAATGAGCTGCATACACATAGCACAATTGGTAGTAATTGGGACTTAAGAGGCCTTTAGAGGATAAAATTCCGTGAGGCCTCGATGCCATGGCTGTCAGATTAATTATATTTTCTGTATATATTTAACTTTTAGTGCAATAACTGAAAAACATATATATATTAGTTCAGATATTGATGCTGAACTCTTTTGTGTATGTATTTGACAATATACTGCAATTCCCAGGACAATATGCTTGATTTCTACATGAGAACCTGCAAAGTTTTTATTCCAGGGGCTGAGGTGATTGGTTTATTGAGGATTATTTAGTCTCCCTCGAAGAAATACTTTTATGTTTTTGGGCCAAAAGAATTTTGTCATTCAGTTCATCTGTTGCGCAGTTGCAAATTTGGGACATCTCAGGGCAAACAACCCAGTTCTTCGTGAATGATAGGATTAACTTGCCAAATGGCTCTATGGGACAAAGTGAAGAGGTGAGTGATTTACTAATCACTATATTTATTTTGTTCAATTTCACGTTTTACTTGTATTTTTTCTATTTTTGGTTTTTGGGTCTGAACTTTCTTGAAGAAGATGGTAGGTAACCTTTAATACTTCAATGGTCTCTGTTATGTACAACTGCCATGTCTAGCAGTTGCTGTTCTTTTGTTTATCTGACCTTGTGATGCATATTATATGTGCAGATTCCCCTTGAACTCCTAATTCATGGATTTCCAAATTCCATGAAAGGTAGAAATATCAAGATAGATGAGTTAACAGAATATGATGAGAGAGATAGTTCCTTCAGCATTGGTTCAGTTAAAATGAATGGAAGCAGTGATCACATTAGCTCTTGTTCAACACCAGCAAGCGCATCATTTTCTGGTTATGGCTATGGAAAAGTTGGTCTCTTGGGTTTGACAGGACTACAGAATCTTGGGAATACATGTTTTATGAATAGCGCAATTCAGTGCTTGGCTCACACTCCGAAGCTAGTTGATTATTTTCTAGGAGATTACAAAAAAGAAATAAATCGTGAAAATCCACTAGGGTTGAATGTGCGTGACAATGCACTTGCCATCTTATATTTTTTGCTTCCTTTACATTGCTCAACCTTTTTTAACAAATGCCTGCTTCATGTCCAGGGTGAGCTTGCTTTGGCATTTGGAGACTTGCTAAGGAAGCTTTGGGCTCCAGGATCAAACCCAGTTGCACCTAGAATGTTCAAGCTAAAACTTTCTAACTTTGCTCCTCAATTCAGTGGTTATAACCAGCATGATTCTCAAGTTAGTATTACTAGTGGATTCAAGTGCAGTTCTGGCTCCTGATTCATCTTCTGCTAGTGGTTAATTTTCAATTTTGTTTCATGTGGAAAAATTCACTTCTTAGATGTCTTTTGGTTTTTAAAACTCTCACGTGTCTCCGCGTCTGTGCATGCAGGAATTTCTTGCCTTTTTGTTGGATGGACTTCATGAAGATTTGAATCGCGTGAAATGCAAGCCTTACATAGAAGTTAAAGATGCAGAGGACCGTCCAGACAAAGAAGTGGCAGATGAATATTGGAAGAATCATCTGGCTCGCAATGACTCCATCATAGTTGATTTATTTCAGGTGAGTCCTCTGTTTTATAAGAGTGCTGTGTTTTACAGGCTGAACCTCTTTTAATTCTCTAGTCCTCTGTTAGTCATTTCAGTGATACACATTAAGTCATTAACCATTGTCAAAGTCTTCATGGATAGAGCCAGAAGTGCCAGTAGGATCTCTAATTCTTAAAATATGAATTTCTTTAATACTTTGGCTATTTGTGATTGAATGTTTAATTGATATTTGTTTGTTGTTGTTTTTCTCGAAATTAGTTGAGGGTGAATCTCCTTTTTTTTTTTTCCTCCAGAGTTGATTTTATTCTTTTATCAACATTATAGGGTCAATATCGTTCAACGTTGGTTTGCCCCAATTGCAAGAAGAAGTCTGTTACATTTGATCCATTTATGTACCTATCGCTGCCTTTACCTTCAACAAGCATGCGAACAATGACTTTGACAGTGGTGAGCACTGACGGCTTTACCTTGCCTTATCCTATTACTGTATCTGTGCCAAAATGTGGAAGGTTGAAGGATCTTATTGAGGCCTTAAGCACTGCATGTTCCTTGAGAAATGATGAAAGGCTGTTAGTTGCTGAGGTATGCTTCTACATTATGTTCTTAAATATTCTGACTGCCACTCTGCTAGTGGCATGAGCTCTAGACTATATTTACCATTATCATAAACTGACATATAAAATTATATATTTTTGCTTTGCAAAATTTTTTCTAATGAAATGCACTGAATTACCTGAAACAAAACTCAAAAACTAATCTTGAAAACATACTTAATTGCCAATGCTCAATCAAGGCATTGTTTCTTTAGCCAAGTGAACTTGTATATCTATATTATATCTGTCATTTAGATATCTCCAGTGCTTTTTATTTTCCCTTTATTTCAGAAGATTTAATATGGATGCTCTCATTTTATTTTTAGTTGATAAAGTAGGTTGGCAATTTAGATTTTGTATGGATGTATGTTTGGATTTAGAATTTGCATATGTATTACTCTTTTCGTGAATCATCTTGAGCTCTGAACTGACTAAGTGGTGTGTAGATATACAGGAATAAAGTTTTTCGTTTCCTGGAGGAGCCATCTGATTCGTTAGCTCTGATCAGAGATGATGACAAACTTGTTGCTTATCGGTTACCCAGAAATAATGACACATCTCCCTTAGTTGTGTTTTTGCATGAAGTCATGGACAAGTAAACTGATTGAGATCTTTAGTATAATCTTTTTGTATTTCTGCCATTTCTTTCGCTTATTTACTCTTTTATTTGACTTTTGGTTTTAGGCCTTCTGAATTGGAGAAAGCAGTGCCGAGTAGGAAGTTGTTTGGCATTCCTCTTGTAGCAAGATTGTCTAATATTTCGAACGGCTTTGATCTCTGTAAACTGTTTCTGAAACTGCTCAATCCATTTCTGATGTCCTCTGATGATGAATTAAATGATCATGATTTGGGAGCTGCAGCTGATGAAGCTTCTGCAATGGAAGAAGTCCCTAGCCCTACTGTTTCAGGTAGTAATGCAGTCTCAGACGGTGAAACAGATGATGACCCAGATTTCAGTACTGATTTTCAATTCTGCATCAGAGATTATTGCGGAGCAACAGAGATAAAGATGAATAAGCCATTACTGGTCTCAAAACTTTCCAATAAATTAGAAGTTCATGCTTTCTGGTCTGAGAAGATGATGGAAAAGTATGATACATGCATTCTAAGCTCTCTGCCAGAGGTTTTTAAGCCACAGTTGTACACAAGGAGGCCTCAGGAGTCTGTTTCTTTGTATAAATGCCTTGAAGCATTTTTGAAGGAAGAACCTTTAGGACCAGAAGATATGTGGTTAGTGTGTTCCCTTCTACACTTGGAATTTAGGGGTAAAAAATATTATCTGTAATTGTCAAATGAATCATGTTCTCTTGCTGTCTCTGATTATGGATGTTTCAATATCTAATTTTAGGTACTGTCCCAGTTGTAAAAAGCCACGGCAAGCTAGTAAAAAGTTAGATCTTTGGAGACTACCTGAGATATTGGTTGTTCATTTAAAGAGGTTCTCATATAGTCGAATCATTAAGAACAAGTTGGAAACATATGTTGACTTCCCTGTTGAGCATTTTGATCTTTCAACTTACATTTCTCATGAAGATGGCCGGTTGTCCAATTGTTATCAGCTGTATGCAATAAGTAATCATTATGGAGGCATGGGCGGTGGTCATTATACTGCATTTATTAATGTAAGCATTGATGCTTTTTTTTTATCCAACCAAGGCTTTGATCAATTTAGTATTTTTTAAATATTAATGTTTTCCTCATCCATTTGACATGGCTTCTTCATAAGTTCTATGCATTTTAGAAATACAAGCATGGAACAACTGATCCAGTACTTGAGATGAATGGGTTTTGCTGCTACGAATCTGAGCACATCTTTTCTTTGTAGTGACATTTTTATTTCTGGGGCTTTTGGCGAATTGTTCATGATTGATGCTAATAATTTCATGTCTTGTGGTGTGTGGAATTAAATGTTTGTGCATGCGGTTGATTTAGAATAAGCAAATAAGTCTCAAGATATGGTATTATTACAAATTTAAATACTTGCAGAAAAGTACTGTTTAACTCAAAAGTTCTCTGTTTATATGCAGCATGGCCATGGGAGGTGGTATGAGTATGATGACGACAATGTCTCTCCTGTTAGTGAGGACAGGATCAAAACATCTGCGGCTTACGTCCTCTTCTATAGAAGATTTACTTGATATTGTATATATCTGTCTTGGTTAGATAAATCTGGGGAAGGCCAATACTGCCACAGAAATGGCTTTGCTTTTTCTTTTTGTTGAAGCATCATCAACCTTTTGCTCACAGATTGGAATTGGTCAAGGCACATACATATGGGTTATTGTACAGTTTCTGGAAGGAATCTGCTGGTGAAAGAAGGAAATTTTATTACAAATTGATCAAAGTAACTTTACCTTACATGTATATATTTTCAGGTGAAGAATGAGAGAGACAAATTTTTGGCAAATGGGGCAAGTTAATTTCCCCTCTACTTTGAATGCATATATTGTTTCAGTGATTACTCTGGATTAACTTATTTTTGGAAAAGGAAATATGATATAGCTGGACTTGTGGTTGGTTTACTTAGGGTTGGCCTTTTGGGTTTCAAGCTTGTGTGATTAAAATTTAATCTTTGATAAAGTTGATATACGTACATGAGATTTTCCGAATTTAATTATGAGCTTGTGAAGAAAGCATGGTGATATATACCCGAACCGATAGCACAGGATTTGTTCGTACCTAGTCCTTAGTGGGTCTCAAATGTTACCTATATTGGGTAATAACGACAAGTTGCACAGACGAGGGTACGAGTCTGCCTTTTTGCTTTTTTCTCTTTCCTTTCTTCTATTGCACTTTTTTTATATATATTTGCTTTAGGACACAACTGATTTAAAATTTTAATCACTTTAATTTATTAAATTATATTTTTAAATATTATTATTTGTAAAATTATTTTATTGAATATTTTAATTTATAAAATTCAATATTTATAAAATAGTTAAAGTATATAAAAATTATTGTTTTAAAAAGTTGTACTGTCAACGTATTAAATCGATGTATCAAATCAATTCTTTGTACAGAAAAACCAAAAACACGGAAAAAAAAAATCAATTTTTTATAAAGAAAAGCCAAAAACACCAAAAAAAATGTTATTTGATGCAAAGAGGTGTTGAACATTACTAAAATTCATAATCTTGAGGCCATAATAATATTCTTTTACTCGTAAGGTGGTGCATGAGTAAAAAATTCATATATTTAGTCTTTTTTCTTATCTAAACAAAAAAGAAAATAAAACAGTGATATAATCACAGACCATGAGAGCTAAACTAATTAAGAGTCCGCTATGTAAAATTTTTTATTCCTATTCCGGTTATGTTCCATAATAATAATAATAATAATAAAACAATGATATTGAAAAAGCAAGTAATTTTGGTAAAAAATTTGAAAATTTGTAAAATCATATCCGTTAAGTGGTATGGAGTAGTAACTGTATTAAATAATTACTGTAGAGTAAATAAGGAATATATACTACGTTGATTATTTCTTATATACAGCATCACTTAAAACACATCATTATAAAATAAAAATTACTTAAAAAGTTATCGTCAAATGCGGTCTACGCAGCCTGAGCGAAGTTTTTTACTGTAATAGTACATGGTGGAGCTAGAAAAAGACTAGTGCATCTGCATATATAGGGCTCGGGTTTGATCCATTGAAACAGTTGAACCCACAGAGCTATGAACTATCATATCATATGCAACTTGCGTAACCTGTTTCTCCTTTTTTTTTTCTTTTTTTTTTTTCTATTTTTAAATTTTGAGATCTGTCAAGGTAATTAACAATCAGAGAAATGCATCTTAATTAGTTTCATTTTTAGGTTTGCACTAAAGGCAATTGGGGACTTCTATTTGCAAATTTCTCCTAACATGGTGCTTTCTTTCTTTCTCTCTCTCTCTTTTTTTTTCTTTGAGTACTGAAGAAGGAGAGTTCGAACATTTTATGTATTGTAAGATTGCACATGCACTTTCCGTTAAATTATGTTTTAGTATGCATAACATGGTACTTTCTTTATTTGAATGCAATCAACTCGTAAGATTTTTTTTTTTTTTTTTTTTTTATCCTACTCGTAAGATTTTTTTTTTTTTTTTTTTTTTTTTGAAGTGAAAAGGAAAAGGAAAATAATGTTTCTGTAATGGTTACTCCCATGGACCATAACTACATAATTATAATTTAAATTGAAATAGTCTTGATTAAAAATTTTAAATAGACAAGGTTGAAAAAAAAAAGATTAAATCATTAATGATAAAAAATTTAGACAGTTAATGTTTTTAATGAATTAATTTAGATTTACCATCAGATCTTGTTAAAGACAAATTTATTAATACATGAATTTAGATTTTTTTTTTTTTTTTTTTTTGAGTGAAAAGGAAAAGGAAAATAATGATTCGTAAGGGTTACTCCATGACCATACTACATAATTATAATTAAATGAAATAGCTGATAAAAATTAAATGGTTGAAAAAAAAAGATTAAATCATTAATGATAAAATTAGACAGTAATGTTTTATGAATAATTTTAGATTTACCAATCAGATCTTGTTAAAGACAAATTATTAATACATGAATTTAAAAAATGCATAAATATGGTTTTATAGTTTAATTCCAAGAAATAGTTTATTTCTCACAATAGATATCTGTCAAAATAAATTAATTCAAAATTTTGGATCGAAATTTAGTTATTGTTGATGTTGATAATTCATTCCTCTTTAGTGCGCACACCTCTTCTTCTTCTTCTCTTTCTCTTTTATTAGAAAAAGGAAACCCCACTTCCTTGAAATAGAGGTTGAAGATTCCCACCACTCATTCTATTTATCATAGTTACGTTTCTCTAATAAATAATAATTTGACCTGCGGGCTGTGACTCAATTAGCAATACAAACGGAACATGTGTAAAGAGCTTTCGGATTTGATCTCTACTAAACATATTCGCAAGAAAAAGCGAAAAGTCTTAACTATGACTAAGCCTCGAGCCGAATTAAGGGGGTCTCTGATAATAGAATCTGGATACCGGTAATTTAAAAAAAAAAAAAAAAAAAAACTTCATCGACCGGTATCTCAAAATCAACCTCTTTCATGAAATTGATAAACCAAAATTATAAATCTTATATGGTTACGTTTGCATCAATTAGTAAGTGAAGTTAAACAAAACACTCTAGTTTTCTAGTTCCAATTTCATTTTTTTTTTTTTTTTAATTTGGGCTATTAGCGGTAGCCTTTGATTGACTTCTTTGCTTTATTTGCATCAATAAGTTAGATATATTTTTTTTAATATATAAATATGTTTATTCTTCGTTTTAATTGCGATTGTTATCTCCAATTTTAAAGTTTTTCTCTCTTTTACAGTGAGGATTTTAGCATTAGTTATCTCAAAGAAAAAAAAAATTATGATTTGGAGATTTTAGATATTAGTTATATTAATTTGCGAACATGAATTTTTTTGCTAATGGATTCGAGTAATTATTCTTTATTGACATATAGTGATTAGAATTCATTCATGTATGTGTAATAAATTTTTTAAAAAACACATTTAAATATAGATGTTATTCAGATCAAATAAAGAACTAATAACCATTCACAAGATATTATTTTTAAATAAAAAAATCTAATATTAATAATATTATTTAAAAGATTCATTTGTTAGAAGATTTATTAATTACTATCATATGACAGTAACTTCTATGTCTTGTCTACGTAAACATTTGCAATGCTTCAAACTTTGATATTATTAATGAATTCCTTTCCTACTTCCAAGTTCCAATCATTTAAAAGATTACATTAAATAAAAAAATAAAAATAAAAACTGCCTCTGTCAAAAAAACAAGAACACGTTGTTTCTTTATAAATATAGCACTCTTATCTCTCTCTCTCTCCCCAACTCTGGAACTGTCATATTTAATCTTGTGATTTGCTTTAGAATGTCTCTGGAAAATATTTCTTCTGAATGCTTCTGTTATGTGCACTGCAACTTCTGCAACACAAATTTAGCGGTATTATTAAATTATTTTAGTTTTATCTGTCGTGTATTCTTGATTTACTATACTCTTTAGCCTAACTTGATCCATTTATATTTTAAGTTTCTTACTTGAAGGCTTTTCAATTTTCATTTACTTGCAAAAGTTCCAAGTTTAGATTTATGAACTTCTTCTTTTATTACTCACAACTCAAACCTTTCAAGTGATTTCTGCTGACATATCAAAATCTAATTAAATTAGCTTTTTCTTGAAAGTTATGGAAATATTTTAACGAACCCATGTATATAATTTAGTTCAATAATTAAAATTCAGATTTATTCTTCACTATCTACAACAGATTACTATATATTGCCAGATCCCAAGACACTGAACTGTGTCTAAAAATCTAGGGTTTCTTATATGAGCTATATATACATCTGGCTTTGAAGGCCTTTTTTCTATATTCTTCTGAAGAAAACTGCCAAAAGAATAGATCTTGACATGCACAAATTCTTTACTTTATCTTTCCTTAACAAAGTCTTATATGTAATCTTTTATGAAGCTTCATTTTCATATACGTTGCTTTAATTTTAATTTATGTTTTTTCCTTTTTTTCTTTATAAAAAAAAAGGAAAAAGGAAAGAAATTGTGGATACATAGATTTCATGGCAGAATGAAACAAGAAAAGCAGTAAAGATAATCTTTTGATGGATTCATCTCTTTATTCATAGCTATGTTTCAGAGATCTGCTCATTGCTTGCTGGTTTTCTATGTTGGTTATGTCCTTTTCTTTCCCTTACTTTTTACATTTCATTGCCTAAGAGTGTCAGACGCACTGAAATATAGTGGAATCGTGATTTCTGTCAAATACTTTTACATAATTATATGCATATAGCTCCAGTGAGAACAATCTCTTTGTCCAAGATTCAACATATCTTCAGGCACTTCTAGTGTTTGATTATATACTTACTCTCATTGTTTGTGTATATGTAATTACTTTCATTGGTAATTTTATCTTTAATTTTATTTTAAATGCGAATTGACAGTCATATTATCTTTAATTTTGCTTTGAGTGTACATTTATGGGTCAGGTTCTCAGTTTTCTGTAAACAAATTGGCCATAGTTGTTAGTATTGTGGCTTTCATGTTTGTTTAAAATTCAATTTATACAATCAGTCTTGATCACATCATTTTTGGATACTTTAATAATTTCAGTTTGCTATTCAGGTGAATGTTCCAAACAACATCGTGTGCAACGTTGTAACAGTTAAGTGTGGACATTGTTCTAATTTATTATCTTTGAACACAACTGCTATGCAACAGACTACCACTCATCATCATCTCCAAAATGTTCATGTAAGTATAAGAGTGTGTGTGTGTATATAGATATATATATATATATTTAAACTCTTATATAATGTATTAATTATGAATTTTTGCAGAAGCAAAACGTCCTACATCAAGATTTAAATGAGCGTTCTTTGTCATCAAAGGACAATGAAGTTTCTGTATTAGTCTTTCCATCACAAAGTGAAAGATCAAGAACACTTTCTGCACATGGTAAAAATATCAAGAACACTACTTAAAAAAATCTTGAATTTTAATTTAAGTTTTTAATAATATGCGTTAATTTTCAAAGTCTTTATTTAAGAAATGAAACTAATTAACCCTAATTACACTCGATATATTTAATCAATTAAGCAGCCATAGGGAAAAGACAACGTCCTCCTTCAGCATACAATAAATTTATCAAGTGAGTATTATATTATTCAAGATTTGGCTTTCAATTAGATGGAACTAATATGTATTTCTGTGTCAATGATTGTCTGTTGCACCAAAAATTTTGTGTGATCATGTGTGTAAATGTGCACATAAATATGTTCTATGCTCGTATTGTAGGGAAGAGATTCGAAGGATAAAGGCAAACAATCCTAAGATTAGCCATAGAGAAGCTTTTAGCACTGCAGCAAAAAATGTATGTTGCTTAATTTTTCATTTTCCTTTCTTTATTTTTCTTCTTTTTTATAAATTAGATGTAAATTTTACGGGCAAATTAAAGCATAACCCAGTGTAAGTGGATGTACGATCTAACGACGAATCAAGGTTCAAAAAAAGAAAAGCAATTCTATAGGTTCAGACACTAAAATTTTAATTTATAATAGAAATGAAAAAATGAGTTAAACTTGTCTTGCTTGAGTTACTCTTTACCGGGCAATGTCATCAGAAAGTAGAAGACGCACACCTGGATATTAGGTTAGCAAGTTTCCATATAAAATAAGCAGTTAAAAACTTTTAGTTATGGTTTGTAATTGGTTAAAGTCTGTCTTTATGATATGTGCAGGTCAGGAATTTAAACCCTAAATCTCATATATACATTAAGTTCTGATTAGGTTTTGAACTAAATATTGTATTTTCTACCTGAATTAACATCTAAATTTTAGATTCTTTATTTGTGTCAATGAAGTTTTCTTTTTCCCTTTGTTTACACTTCCTGCTTGGATTGAATCATATAAGTTTATTTCCTCTGCTGATATACGAGGATGTAGAGTAATTTTATAAGCTAGATAAGAGTAATTCAAAAGAGTTTCTTCTTGATCTTTATATATAATAAATTACATTATTTAAAGAAATTAAGAACAATAATATGACACCATATATATTTCTTTATAATAATGCAGTGGGCACATCTCCCTCACACCCAATTTGGGTTAACACTGAAATAGGAGTATGAAGAAGGACACAACACACAGTGTCAAGGAACTAAATAATGGCTGCATGCATTTGAGTTTCTATTTATATGTGGTGTGAGTTCAATTCTAGTTTATTTACTGTTTTCGGTGCCCTAAAAACTGTACCAATTGTAGGTATAAGCTGTTCAGATTATCTTGTTGTATCATCATAATTTTCTTCTATGAATCTTATAAATGTAATCTGTTATTATTTTTCAAACTTATGTTGTAATTGTTAACTGTCTTTTGAGTATCGACTGTGAATTTCTTTATTTGATGTTTTACTTCAAAGGTTTCTTGTTTGTAAATCAATTAGAACGTGGGATTAAAGAGTTAATTTGGAAATTGGTTCATAATTATAACATGAACATGCAACCTTGTTTGAAAATTAACAAGGTTAATTATAATTTAATTTGTCATAAAATGCTCTTAATTTGATTCTTACTCATTATTTTAGTACTCAAATTATGAATGTCTTGTTACATTTTATTCTTTGATTTTTATTTAAATTAAATTGTCTTTATCCTCTGAAAATCTCTTAAAATCTTTTATTGTGACTAAAATTGCTGATTTTTTTTTTTTTAATATAATTAACAAACTTTCTATTGATGACCCCAACTGTTTTGTGGGTTAAGGTTTATGCTAATTGATAAATCATCAAAGATTGTCTGTAAATGTTGCTGATGGGTCAATTTCAAAATTTCAGGTCTGAACACCTGAGCTGCTAACAAAAAATATTGGGATCCGTAAATTAATTGATTGGAAACAAACGGTTCTTTGTCAAGCAAACATCACAATTACTACTGACAAAAAAAAAAAAAAAAAAAAGGAAAAATCTTTTAAATAATTATGTGACTAAAATTGGCTTGATTTTTTTTTTTTTTTTAATTATAATTAACAAAATTTCTATTGATGATACCCCAAACTGTTTTGTGCTCCTGGAAGTTAAAGGTTTATGCTAAATTGATAAATCTCAATGATTGTCTGTAAATGTTGCTGTGGGTCAATTTCAACTTCAGTCTGCAACACCTTAGCTGCCTCAACAAAAATATTGGATCGTACAATTAACTGATATGGAAACAAAACGGGTTCTTTGTCAAGCAAACATCACAATTACTACTGGACAAAAAAAAAAAAGAAAATAAAAAGAAACAAAATGCAATAATAAATATTAAATATTAAAGACAAGATAGATAAGAATCTGTGAAAGTAAGACATCTAAACTTAAAAAAAAAAAAAAAAAAAAAGGAAAACAAAATGCATTAAATATTAAATATAAAGACAAGATAGATAAGAATCTTGAAAGAAGACATCAAACTTAGAACAAGCAAAGGCAAGCATTCCAAAAACCCCCGGATTAATGGGCATTTCTTCTTATGTGATTCCTATGGGAGGGAAAGCAGTAACCAATCATTGTCCTATGATTTTGGACAAACTATCTTATAGAAGTAAAATATTTAAGTTCAAAGAATATCAGAAGTTGATGTTAATTGTAATGTGTCCTCTAATGCTATTGAGATACAAGTATTTATAATATCTTTCTTATTTTAATTGAAAGAGTAAATGCCGAGCATGAATCTCAATTATAAATATCAAGCGATAATTTTGATCATTAATTACATAATTGAATGACTCTTTGACCGAGCGTTACCCCTATTTAGATCATCGCTCAATCAATTTCTTACTAACTATTCCATCACTAACCATTCTAAAACTTTAATATGAATAGCCCAATAATAAAGGTTAACTATTCTATCTTATTTGCCAAAAAAATACAAAAGATTAAGTATTGTATCATATCAAACCTTGAATCACTGTAATGAAGGTTTTAAATGGATATCACTTTTTGATGGGGCATGAATATCAGATACAAACCAGATAAAAAAAAAAATGATAATATGATGAAAGATTAGAGATTTTATCATATGGTTTTAGATTAAGAATCACATATGGAACTATATACCGAATTAAGAGAATTACCTTTTACGTGATTTAAGGTAATTAATTACACTCTTTTGATGTTTAAGTCAACAATTGTCTAGACTTGGAAAGTAAGTGTAGAGTATATATATATATACATATAATAAGTCAAATTTATCCTTAAAAAAAAGGTCCATTTTATCCTATTTTAAGGATTTATGATTTTGTATGATTGGTCTTTGACCAATTGATAGGAAAACTAAAAAAAATATTAATAATAAAACTCTCAAAATTGTCCAATTAAACCTAAATAATTTAAGATTAATTTAGGATAAATTTTGCAATTTTGAACAAGTTAAAACAATTTTTTTTTTTTTGTGATTATAAATACTATTCAATATAAACTTTAAGCTAATGAGTAATTAAATTAAAACACGTGCTAAGTCTTCTTACTAACTAACATATGTATAATCACTAGATTGACAAATGTATTAGACTCTAGCAATCACAACAAACCACACATTAAGAAATACATGAACAGACTCCAATACCATGTTAAAAAAAATTATTCAATAAAAAAACTTAAATTAATGGTTAGTGAGACTTGAACACTACATAAAAATTTTAACTTTAAATTTGATATTTTAACCAATAAAAATAAAAATAAAAAAGCTAAAAACTCCACACAATGGTATTTTTCTTTTATCTTCAAAAATGCATAACAAAATTAGAGAAAGAAAATAAGTTGTAACTAGACTCACACTCTCTGTTGATACTGCCTGGTGCCCACCATCCTTACCGGCCCAAAATCCCCAGCCCAACTCACATATGGGCTTAAACATTCAAACCCAAAAAACAATTTATGCACAAAAATATTTTATAAGAAAATAACTTTTTTTTATGAGAGGGAAATGATGAATTTGTATTTGATCCCTTAATTTTCATTGGCTACTTAAATTGATTTTGAATTAAATTTTTACAATATAAACTTTGATTTTATGTTTGATTTGCTCTACTTTTGGCAAAAATAATAAAATAATAAAAATAAATTGTTTACCTTTAAAATGATAAAAAAATTTTAAAATCAGAAATCACAACATGATAATCACATGATTTATAATGATAACATTTATTTTCATAAAGTTAAAAAATGATAAAAACTGATATTATTATTATAAATAAAGAAAGAATACATATTAAAATCTTAAAATAAAAAATTACTATTATGATATTTTTTTAATTATAAAAATTACATTATTTATTATATTAATAAGTTAATGTAAGTATTTTTCTTTTTATTTTTTTATTTTCTAAGAAAATTATTTCCATAAAAATAAATAATAAAAATTAAACCATAGGAAGCTATTCTTTAACAATAAATATGTGTATATTCGGTTAAAATGGATTGGGGAATGACTCTATTTCAATTATATTCCATTTCACTAAAATCTGATTTGAAAATATTGGAATTTCAGACTTTCAAAGTTTTCAAACTTAATAAATAAATAAAAAATCTCAAATTTTCAATAATTAATTGCTTTATGTATCATAAAAAAAGTCCAAAAATATCAAAATAACACTTTAATTATTATTTTTGAGAGAAAATAACACTTTAATTGTTAACAGAAAGAAAACATTAATATTTAAATAAAGTTGGATCGTTAAATACTCCATTTGTCTCGTTTTGTTTGCATGTTTGCAAAATACGCATTTTAAGAATTTAGTCAACAAATACTATTTTGCCTTTTTTTTTACTTTTAATTTATTAAGATATTAATAAAAGTCATTTATTTACTCAACAATAATAAATGTTATTATGGAAACAATAATTATTTACATTATATAAATAAAATTAATTATTAACCAAAAATTAATTTAAACATTTTCTCAATTTTTTGGCCTCTTTCCTTCTTTTTTTTTTTTTTTTTTTTTTTTTTTTTTTTTTTTTTTGGAAACAATAGATTAGTTTACATTATATAAATAATATATTAATTATTAACCAAAAAAAATTATTTAAACATTTTCATCAATTTTTTGGCCTCTTTCCCTTTCTTTTTTTTTTTTTTTTTTTTTTTTTTTTGTGTTCATTTTCTACATAGGTCCTATTACACGTTCACATCTCATTCTACACAGTGACGTATTCTTCCACAAAGTACCAGATATCTTTTCTCTTTCTTTACTCTCTCTTTCTTGTCTTCTCTGATCCACAATTCAGGTTTCTCAGTTTTTTTCCTCCTTTTTTATTCCCATTACCCAAATTTTTTTTTTTTTTTTTTTTTTTTTTTTTTTGTCATTTTCTCATGCTTTCCTTACACGTTCACATCTCATCTAACACAGTGACGCACTACAAGCACCAAGAATCTTTTCTCTTCTAGTCTTCTTCCTCGTCTCTCTGACCCACAATCAGGTTTCAGTTTTTTTCCCTTTTATTCCCATTACCCAAATTTCAATACTACCAGACGAACCTATTTACTGTAAGAATTTGATTAGCAAGTAAATTTCGTTTTCTCTCCCCATTTTTGACAAATCTGAAGCTTTCTGTTCTTGAAGGCATTTGCAGTTCTACAGAGGTGACAATTGCCTTTCAATTTTGTTTGGATATGTAGTAAATATTGTAGACTACGTATATCAAGACCTATAATCTATATTGGATTGGAGCTTTTTGTATGATTTTATTGTGTATGAAAATGTTAGTATAATTTGCATGCACACAATGTATTTGATCTTTTGCCCAAATGTTACTCTTTTCTTGCCATCAATTCAAAGTGGATAGCTAAGAATATTTTCATTTAGCAGGTCAGTGATGGAAAACGATGAGATAATGGGGGGAGATAAACTTATATTAAGAGGATTGAAGTTCCATGGCTTTCATGGAGTGAAACCAGAAGAAAGGACATTGGGACAAAAGTTCTTGATTGATGTAGATGCCTGGATGGATCTTAGGGAAGCTGGTAAAACTGATCGGCTGTCAGATACGATTAGCTATACTGAAATTTATCGGTAAGCAGTTTGTTGGTCCTTTCTTTAGTTATCATTTATGAAATCATCTTCCATATCATGTTTTAGCTATAAGGGAGATGTCTCCTAATAAGTGCTTCTATTTATCCAAAGTTCACCACTAGAGTGTAAATGATCTAATCTGCTGGTGAGCTATTTGAACTTGCAAAATATTAAAAATCAACCCGGATTTAGTCGAATCGAGCTCAAATGTGATAGTTGTCGGTGATCGAACTAGGGTTGTTTGGTGGTGGTCGGCAATGATGATAACTGGTGATGGATGGACTGATAAATGAGTGTTTATAAGTTTTTCTCCTTTATTATAGTAAGTTTGTTAATGTTTAGAAAATGTTTTTTGTTCTTAAAAATGATAAATCATTTTCCTTTAAGACGAGTTAAGTTTCCTTTTGTCCAGAAAAATCTTTTCTATTAACTAATCTTCGTATGCTCCAAACATCAAAAAATTTGAAAAATGTGATATTTTTGTGATGATTATCCAACAGCATAGTCAAGGAAGTTGTGGAAGGAGCCCCTCATAATCTTCTCGAGTCAGTGGCTCACAAGATTGCTTCTACGACCCTGACAAAATACCCCCAAATATCTGCTGTTCGCGTAAAGGTTGGGAAGCCTCATGTTGCTGTTCATGGTCCTCTCGATTATTTGGGGGTTGAGATTCTCAGACGCAGAAGTATTGATGTTTCGAGCTAAATTACTGCTACATGTTTGTTGTTTTTGGTACTATGTAACCTCTGTTTTATCTGCAGTTTCAGTTTTTCAGTTTGGCAGTTTTTGGGACTTTTTATTTTTGAGCTTTTTTTTGTTTATTGTTTTTCATTAGCGTTTTAACTTCTATATGTGCTGGATTGTTTCAACAAGAAACACCATTTCTATGCTACACTATGAAGTGGTTCTTAAAACACTCAAACAGGTCTTCTTTTTTTTTTTCTCTGTTTTTTGAAGGCTTGTAAAATATATAATAAACTGATCTTTTATAATCCCTATTGTAATTATCATTAAAACTGGTAAGGTTGGTCCTGAGTCCATTATGTTTACCACAATGTGAATACTGAAGCGACAAACTGGAAAACTTTCTTTAGACTTTGCTCTCAATTTTAAAAGTCTACATGCCTGTATTATATTGCTTTCATTATCAAAATTCATGAGCTCTTATCCCTACTCAATGAATTAATAAAGGGAAAGGCAAAAAAAAAATTTTAAAAAAAAAATCTTATTCTTCATCATAAATAATAATACTAAAATCCAAAAACATTTCAGTAGAAAATAAAAAATGGACACTGAAGAAAGAATCTGAGAATGCATGTAGCCATTATCTGAGATGAAAACAATATTCCTTGCTTTCTAGCAAACTGGCATCATATGCAATTCTACAAGACTTTCTCTATTAAGTTGCTAAAAAGGCATGAAATGGAGTTTTCAGAATTTCTACAAAACTTTCTGTTGCCACTTGGAGTTTTCAGGCAGCCACAGCACTTGGTTCACGACCAGCAGCTTTGCCTTTGCGGTTCCAAATTGGAGTGGTCTCAATAAGCTTGTGTGGCACAAGCTGCCTTTCCCGCTTACTGAGCTTGCGGAAATTGTGCACTCTTAGCCTGGCAATCTTAGCCTCCTCTTCAGGGGTTGTCTCTCTCACTACTACAGTCAGTCGACACTCTGGTCTCACTTTAATTCCAGCTCTCCCCTTTGCATGGTAAGAAGTCCTCTTCTTAAAAAATCCCTTTCCAACAAAGGCCTCAGCTACATATATCAAGGGGGAAATTTGGATAAGCAGAGTTCTAATAAAAGTCGAGGCAGCAAATTCACTTCCATTACTTACCAACAAGAAGACGATCTGGATCCAACCCATGATTATGAGTTGCATTTGCTCGAGCTGAATGAATAACCTGCACAAGGCAAAAATTTTAATTTCTATAATATCCAAAAGGATTATCATTCTTTCTTCCCAGAAATTCTGGATAAGCCATCAAAACTTAATGCATAAACACCAAGTTCTTCCTGGAACAGCATTTGAAATTCAGGCATGAACATGCCCCCCATAAATATTAACATGATTTCAATAACAAACATACTTAATCATCAAATATGATTGCAAGCTATTTGAAAAATATTTCACTAAAAGGAGAGAGAGAGAGAGAAAGAGAGAGAGAGGGAGAGAGAGAATGTGACTCTGTTTCATCAGGCACATTACTTTCTTTCCCTTTCCTGCTCCCTTAAGAGTCAATAGTTTTCTTCTTTAATTAATAAACTATTTCATCCAGATTCAAAAAGACTAATTTGAGACCTAGACTCACTCAGTATGTTATATGTTAAAAGCACATTTCTATGAGTTTATCCTCAAAAAGGCTTCTCCCCTTTCTTTCTTTCCAAGTAAGTTTTTCCAGGGGAATAGGAAAACAAACTATGGTTTAAATGAATCTATCAACATATCTTGCCACTCAGATAAAACAACAAACTGTAGAATGGTAGTATAACCTGGTATACAGTTTTTGAAGCTCGCTTTATTGTAAGTTGCAACTGCAACAATGCATCTTCAACCCGCATACCACGAACTAGTGCAGCAACCAAGTTGAGCTTCTTAGGACTCTGAAACCATCCATCTAAGATTAATCAGACAATTAAGGTGCACCCTGTCTGAGTGTCTACTGTCCTATCTTTAACATGCACTTAAATTTCAAATAGCGAAAAAACATTAGCATCTCGCTGTTGAAAGAGAGCTATAAGACTACATTTTTATCAGACCAAAAAAAAGAAAAGCTGTCCATAGTTCAAGTTGCTTCAGTTGAATTACAATAATAACTAGCAGTAACTTTTTCCGTGGTTATCGCTTTTACCATGTCAACTTGTTTTGTGAAACCCTTTATAAATATGCACATTTTTAATGGTAAATATATTCATATGAACTAGCAATGGCAGTATGAGAGAAAGCTATCATACTAAACAAAATGCATAACAAATATGAAACATTAACAACGTTGATACACAGAGGGACTACTCAACTGCTAACTTAATTGCATGAACTTGGTTGCTGGAGCAACCATCAAGGTTAACCTTCAATTGCAAGTTTTCAGCAAAGAAATCAAATTATTTCGGACAATTAGCAATTGTAAGCTTAACAAATGACCAGGACAATATTCTCATTCAAAGTAATAGCGAACAAGACAGGTCCCATTCATTTCCATGTTTTCTAAACTGCATGTATCCAAATACAGTATCTGTACTTAGACTACTAGTATATATGCTTGACTTATTCAGATCACACAGCTCAAATCAGTAACTTGAACGACTGCAAAGTTTAGACCATTCCCTTTCTTTTGTAACTGAGAAGTCCAAGTCTGCATACAAGGCATCAAATTTAGACACCATAAAACGAGATAATGTGCTTCCTATAGTTGCATCACCAGCAACGATACAATGATCTTTATCTGCTGTAGCAAACAAAGCAACCTCAGAGAAGTTGAAATATGAAGAAAGAAGGATCATCCTACCACGTATTTTGACAAATTTCAATAGTTTATGGATAATATATGAAAGACATGTCACCTACTTTAAATTTTGTGTTAGTTTTATAATTAACAATGATTTGTGGATTATGTAGAAATAATCACTCAGGACTTGAGCAGAAAAGAGGATTGCGCGAGAACTAAATCAAACATTGTGCACAAGAGTGATATAGCATCTCACACCTGTTTTATGCCCTTAAGCACTGCTTGAACCGTTGATGGTTTAGTTACAGCCCTCTGTTCTTTAGTTGTTCCACTGCTTAATGGAGTTAATGCAGGAGTCAATGGAGAATGAACTGGTGTTTCCTCTGAAGAACCTGCTAGTAATTTCCTTGAACTGGAGATGCCCTGTAACCATGAAAGACAGAGTGAACTTATAATTCAGTTATGTGCATCATCTCAATAAGCTATTGCAGTTAGGTGAATTCAAAAAACATCCATTTATATCTAACTGTGCAGCCGATGGCAAAATAACCTACTCCCATGTCAAAAAAATAAAAAAAATAAAAATCCTTAAACAACAGCATGTAGTTTTCATTTCATATTGGTGATGCATTATAACACTTCGGGCAAGTGCCCGTAAACAATTTCTTGGTTTGGCAAATGCCTCGAGCCAAGAATCCATTCTAAATCATAAAATTATAGTCAAAGATGCTTCCATCAAATAGTAAGCACTCGAGCAACCAATATGATGTTTCATAAGCAAGGATATAGGTGAAAATTATACAACATCAAGGAACAGAAGACATACAGACAAAATCATAAATGGATCCAATAATTGGTAACTTAAAAAGTATAGGGAAAATATAAGTTGACAATCATATTTTCTGCTCTCTCACATTTTCAATTTCTTAAATGTCAGCTCCAAAAATGTCCAAGGATGTATACCCATGTCAAAGCCATGCACAGTTTTATCAAACATGCTTTAGATTCTGAACACCTACCAACATTTTTAATAAAAGTTTTGGCATGCTGAGGTTTGTCCTGTCTAATAAGGTGACTAAGGGTATGAAGAACCTGAGATTCATATAAATAAAACAGCAGCCAAAAGACATGAATTGATCAGTGGAAATGGCATTACCGACTGTTGCAAATACTGATAGAAAGGCCTTGAGATGTTGGCAGAAGGTGATTTCCATAATCTCTGTAGATATGGTAATTTTCCTGCAAAGACAATCCATTTTTCTCCAACTCTGAATAAAAGTTTTTTAAAGCAGATAGAAAAATGTGAACACTCATTATTATTATTATTATTATTTTTGTGTCTTCTATGCCTGTTTGCATTTTTGAACAAGATTAATTAAGATTATAACATGTGTACTGATGTATGAATGAGCATATATATATATATATATATATACAGTGGAATGGCATTACGACTGTTTGCAAATACTGATAGAAAGTGCCTTGAGATGTTGCAGAATGTGATTCTCATAATCTCTGTTAGATATGGTAATTTTCTCTTCAAAGAACATTCCATTTCTACCAACTCTAGAATAAAAGTTTTGTAAAGCGAGATAGAAAAATTTTGTGAACATTCATGGTATTATATATTATTATTATTTTGTGTCTTCTATGCCTGTTTGCATTTTGAAACAAGACTTAATTAAGATTATAACATGTGATGTTACTGATGTCATGAATGAGCATTATTAATATAGTACTAATATAAATATAGGTATGATAATATATTATTCGCCATGTCACATAGGCCGAATTATTAACAAGAAAGCTCTCAAACCAGCACGTACACACTCAACAATTTTTACTGGATAATCTAATGGGAGGTTTTAACGATAAGAACTAACCTTGTTAAAAAAGCAGAACTCCACACAGGAAGAAGAAAGGAAATTTTGCAGAGAGCCCATGTAATTATGCTCCAAGCCTTTTTTCCATATATTATGCCATGTCCATAGGAGAATTATAACAAGAAAGCCTCAAACCCAGAGCTTACACACCAACAATTTACTGATAATCTAATGGGAGGTTTTAAACGAGCTAACCTTGTAAAAAAGCAGACTCCACACAGGAAGAAGAAGAAAATTTTGCAGAAGCAATGTAATTATGCTCCAGCCTTTTTCCAACCTGGCGAAGTAAGGATTGCAAATGTCTATGCCAGCCCACCATGACTCTAAACCCTGAATCACCAGAGCAACCTTTTCTATCATCAAAAAGAAAGTACCATACTTGCAAGCACAAATTGAGAGAAATGCAAGATGTAATTAAATAAAAAGGAAAGAAAATAAAAGATACTAAAATCATACTAACAGTGATTGTGGGTAACGAGAATAATTTAATCATAAACCCTAAACCTTACAAATGAAAAACAAAAATGCCAATTTAAATCAATAAAATTGACAAAATTAACTTCCCCAAACCATTAAAGAGCAAATTTAAACCAACTAAAGAAATAATCAAATCAAATAACTATTTAAAATTACTTGCCTGGATGTAATATAGTGAGCTTTTTGTTGTTAAGAACTCAAATATCATTGAAGAACAATCGTCATTTTAATTTCCTTTAGTTTTCCTCAGTGATTGGGAGAACAAACAACAAAGGGTAAGCGGCAGGGAAAGAAAAACGAGAAAATTACCTGATCGACGGAAGAAAATAGTAGAAGAGTTGGCTTCAGAGACCGTGTGCGCTAAGGCTAAAAGCCTAAAACCAGCGCCGCAGCAGATGGGTGTCTGTGTAGTGGGCTTATGGCCTTATTTTGATAGTAATTCTGGTACGGTTTATTTCTAAGGATATAAAACTTTATCGGTTCCAAAATATAAATTGATTTTACACGGTGATTAAACAGCAATTAATTTTTTAAATTATAATAAAATTAAATATAATTTGACCAAATTACTTTTATTTTATATCATTATCTAATCTCATATCTTTATATTGTATCTAGAAGAAATAAATGGTAATTCGGTTAAATTATCATTAATCTCCTACAAAGTCTTAAGCAATTTATATTTTAAGACGCAGAGGGTAATAAAATATTTATTAATTTGGTTAATTAGGGTTTAGAAAATTAATGAATAAAAAAAAAATTCAACAAATCAATTATTTGGTTAAACAATTATCAGATAATTAATATGGGCCGCGCCCAAGGCCCAAGGCGCTACACGCGGCCTAATGGCTGTTCAATTTAGGGCTGTAAACAGTTCGACCCAATCTAAAATGAGCAGAAAAGAAATATAACCAAGCTTTTTCTTTTTTTTTTTTTTTTTTAATTCAACCTAAATTCACCAGACAAGTTCAGCCCGATTTGTGTGTCTAAAAGATTCTAAAAATAAATCAAGTATTAATATCTGGATCTCTTTCATTAATGCTCAACGGCACTTTCTTCAGTTTTCTTCCCTATCTGAACTCACCAATTCGTCCTATTTTCAACAGGACTTGCTGCATATAAAGAAACTTCCTGTCTCCAAATCTTAGACCAACAATAATCGGTTTTCTATTACAAAACATGGCAGGAAAACGAGGAACAGGACGCAAGAAAATCGAAATCAAGAAAATAGAGAGCAAACACCACCTCAAAACCGCCTTCACTAAGCGTCGCAAAGGCCTTTTCAAGAAAGCCGACGAGTTCTGTACCGTCTGCAATGGCGCCAATGCCACCGTCATCACCTTTTCTCCATATGGAAGGCCTCATGCGTTTGGAAAACCTAATCCAGACACTGTAATCGATCGGTTTTTGAATGAAAATTCGAATTCTTCAGTTGCAAGAGACACACAGAGTAGTATTCTTGAAGAAGAAACTAGAGGAGATGAATTTAATTGGTGGGAGGAATCAGTGGAAGGAATGGACATGAATGAGCTTCTGAAATTCCGGATTTCTTTAATGGAATTGATGAAGAATGTGGTTTACCGGTTGGAAGATATGCAGATGAGAAGAGTTGCTTTGAGGAATTTTTTGTCGCAAGATTCTTGATCTTGTAAATCCTGTTCTTTGGCTCCCGGGTTTCTTTTTAGTGATTCTTGCAATTAATTACAACTAACAGTTTCTTTTCCTTATAGTTAGTGTATGGTTCAAGGTGAAGGAAGCCATTGTTGTTTTTTGTTCAATGTTATATATGAAATTATGAATTGAAATTGATAAAATTCTTCCACCTATTAGCAGATTCAAGTATGAGAATTCTCAGGCTAAAAGCTGAAATTAAGAAATTTTTAAAGAGGATAAAATCAACACTTATGACTGGTACTTGTTTAATTGTTAAAATAATAATTAAAGATATTATAATATGATTGACATTAATAAACAAATCAATAATTTTTTTTCTTTTGAAAACCATTTACTTTTTGAAAATGAGTGCTAAAATTAAAATTATAGGTTACAAATTATATCAATTTATTGGTTGAATTAGTGCGCAATTTCAACTTTTATAAAAATAAGAATATAATTTCCAAACCATAAATTAAACTTGCACCACCGACAGCCCCAAATCTTGAAACACTACTGTTTCCTAATTTTACTAAAAAAATAAAAATATACTGTACATTAAAAATATAAGTTGCCTGACACCCACGGAATGCAAATTAATGGAGGAAGACCACTCGTCCCATCTCCACTAAACACCACCAACCTGTCCATCAACATCTACTATAAATAAGGCTTAATATCACTTTTGGCCTCTCGACTGTAGACTCTGTTATATTGGTGTTCCTAAATTTTATTCGTTAATATATATTGATTTTAATTGACGTTTCAAAAAAATTAATTCATCAGTTTTGTCGTTAGAGATTTAACGGAACGCTGATGTGGAAGAGAAAGAATGGTTGTGACGGTAAAAATTATGCCACATAACCTCGCTCCAATCAACTTTTTGACTCAAAGTTTTTTCTCTCTCCTGACCTCTCTCTTCCTTTATACTTTGAGTCAAAAAGTTGACTAGAGTGAGGCGATATGACATACTTTTTACTGCCACAATTATTCTTTTTTTTCACGTCAGCATTCCGTCAAATCTTCAATGTCAAAACTGACGATTTTTTTTTTTTTTTGAAACATCAATTAAAGTGGATATATACTTACGTGGCAAACTAAAACTTAGGAATGTCAATTTCTTAGGTCCTATATTCGAGGTACCATGTGTGAAAGTAAGCCCTATGAATAAAAAGCATTATATCCAAAACAAAATTCTTTCCTTTTTTTTCCTTTTTTTGTTTTTTAAGAAGGTGATAGTTAAAAATTTCATTTATGACAAAATATTATAACAGTTTTATATAATATATAAACATAATTAAGAAATTTTAGTTTATTAATAAAAAATGGAAATGAGAGAGACAAAAATTTTGAAAAAGAAATTAATTGTTGTAATTTTTTTCTATTTATGTTCCTTTGTTATTTTCAAAATAAATACTAATATTTTTTTTTCTTTAAAAATTTTTTATTTTGTAATTCTTTTCTTCTCTTTAATACGATTGCCTATTATTTTCTTTTTGAAACTTTTAAAATAACCTAGTTTTTAACAACATGTTTTGCATGTCATTTATACTCACTATTGATAATTGTGATTTAATATTTTTAATAATAAATGTAAATATGATTTTTAATCTTTATGAATATCTAGTTGTGGATTTTTGTATTTATGAATATTTTCATTCAAATTTTATATAAAAAACATAAAATAGAAGAAATCAAATTGTAATAAATATTTTATATTACTATCAATTGGCTTTTTAATTTTATTTATCTTTATATTTTATTATATCCAATTGTTTTATTGCAAATTAAAATAATGATGAACATCATTATTGGTAAATAATAAAAATCATAAATTAAACAACAAGTACCTATAACGAGAAGCAACACATGCAACGCACATTCTTAAGTATTAGCATATATAAAAGTGAGAATGCAGAGGGAGAATATTATGATTGACAAAAGTAATCTGCTAAAGTTATGACTTGACGAGAATATTTTTAAAGCTTTTAATTTTATTAGTTGAAAAAATAAAGACAATTTAATTTGATTTGTTATTTTAATTTCTATTTAAATATAAATTCTATTAGCTAATAAATAAAATTATAAAATATCATAATTATAAAATTTAATTTAAGAAGTTGATTGTGCAGCATAAAAATTTATTAAATAAGTATTATATCTATAATTATATAAATACTAAGGCTAAATGATAAAAAAAAAAACCTGAACTTTGCTTGGTTTTACAATTTTAGTCTATTTTTTTATCTTAACAATATGATACAGTGAATTTACTTTTTCGTTGCAATTATAACCTCCATCTTATGTCCATTACGAAGTTGTTGATGTTGCCGGTGATGGAGTCCACACATTAGCAGCACATCACCAGGCCACATCAACAAAAAAACAAGGCTAAATGATAAAAAAAGCCTGAACTTTGGATATTTTTACAATTTCAATCTTTTTTTTTTTAACTTTTAAAATGTCATATAAGTTGCTTCATATAGTACTTGCATATACATACCAAGCATATAATCAATTATAATTTAATCATATAAAATTAGATTTTCTTGAATTATTCTTCAAATTATGGTCTATCAGTTTATCATGTAAAATTTATTATTTAATTATTCACTTAATTAATAATTAATAATATAAAAATAAGAATTTAATTTCAAAATATCGTTGAATTATTCGTTCAAATTTATGGTCTATCAGTTTATCAATGTAAATTTATTATTTAATGTAATTCACTTAAGTTAATTATTCACTTAATTAATAATTAATAATATAAAAATAAGAATTTAATTTCAAAATATTAAAATAACATTATGACACAAAAATACATTATATATCCATGTAACTTAAATTTCTAAATTTTGAAAATAAAAGATAAATTATAGTAATCCGAAATAATTTATTTTAAAATAAATAAATTGTAAAAATTAAATATTTAAAAAAAGCAAAAAATTGAAAAATAACGGCATCAATTGACAAATCAAAAGAATTGACTAAAACTGTAAAGCTCTTTTAATTACTTAGCCTTCTTTTTCTAACATGGCTCTAACGTGTCAAAACGCGGACACATTAAAACGTGACCCAACGAACAAAGGATGGAGGTCATAATTGTAATAATAAAATAAATTCAAAGCATTATCGCTAAAATTAAAAGAATTGACCTAAACTATAAAAGTAGTTAAAATTTAGGAGGTTTTTTTTTTTTTTTTTTTTTTTTTTTTTTTTGCCATTTAGATTTTAGGCCAAATATTAACATTAAAGTTCTGGACATACATAAAAATTTATATATCAAATAAATTTTATTTTCTTTTGGGCTATCAAGAACTGTTTTGAATTTTTACTAACAATTTTTGGACTCACTATAGGATGATATGTTGAAGACTCCGATATTTAGTTTTTTTTTTTTTTTTTTTTTTGCTATTTTTTTTTTTTTTTTTTTTTTTGCTATTTAAATGATAAAATTTTTTTATTTTTAATTAATTTTTAATATTTTATCAAATAATAATAAATAAACAGGGGTAGTAGATTTACTATCTCTTTGCACTTTGTAGAAGAAAGAATATCACTATGTGATGGATAATTGCTATATATGCTACTTATAGTAAATCTATAGACAATTAATTGATATAACTAATTCTTTCATTTAGAATTATCAAGTACAAGTTGATTTTTCTATATCTAATTGCAACCATTATTCTTTACTTTTGTAAGAAATTTAATAATCTTCAATTAGTAGCTTGATTTTCTATATTGATTACAAATTAAAATAAGTGAAGGTGAATTTAAAATCAAGACGTAAATGATATTTGTCTTGACTATTATGCTAAGACTCAATTGGCCTGTTAAATTATGTTCTAATTGTAATTCTATACAAAAAAGTATCATTCGTCATTTTAGACACAGAATGTCTCGTTTTTAGTAGTATTTGATACAAGTATCAAACTATGCTAGAAGTAAAGTGATTGTAAAACTCTTGCTTTGGAGTTTTCCTCATTATCCTTTGGTTTTGTTAAACGACCGGCGAACTAGGTTGCACATTTAATTTATTAGCTAGAGCAGCTGGTTCTATATCTGGTCCGATGAAATGGATTTACTACTCGTCCATCTTTTATTGATAATGTCCAATTGGAATGCAATTATTTATAAAGAATCTTTCCAGAAAAAAAAAAAACTCCAAGTTGCCTTAAATTGGACATAATATGGATTCTAACACATATAGAAGTATATTATTCTTTTAAGGTAGTTTCTTGTGAAATCTCGTTTGGCATACACATATTTTAATAACGAATTAATATGATTTGGTATAATATGGATTCTTATATATTAGGATTAGGATTTTATTTTACCCTTGTCACAATTGAGAAAGTATTATAATTCCAAATACGTGTAACAGATAATAAATTATTTTTTCATTTTACCCTTTGTATTTAACAAAAAATAAATATTTTTACTATTTGAATATTGTAAACTAAGAGAGTATAGTCAATTCACTTGATAATTTATAGTAATTTGAACAAATTAAATTATTTTTTTAAATGACGTGAAATATCCAGATGTGACTAGTCTTTTGAAATAAAAAGAATGTAGAACATATAATTATAATGGATAAAAATAGAATTAGAAACTTGTATTGTGGATGTAGCACGCGCAACTAAAAATATATCAACAGCTGATTTTGGTTTGTATTATTAATTCCCTTTCCATTTTTAGATTTTTAGTATTTTCTTTGGATAAATAAAGGGAAATAATGATATATATATATATATATTATAATAATATAATAATAATATATATAGAGAGAGAGAGAGAGAGAGACGGAGAGGAGGAGAGAGGGAGAGAGAGAGAGAGAGAGAACGAAACAATTACTTGATCTATGGATTAGATGCGTCAATTCACATCACTTGTTCATAGAAGGACTTTAGAAATGACAGGATCGGAGCTTTGTCAAAAATTTTTCTTATGTCATCTTTTTTTGTTGATTCTTTTCCTTTTTTAAACGGAATTCATGCGATAGATATTATTACCATCTATTGGTAAGGTACAAAATATAATTATTGTTATTAAATGTTTGTTGTCGACGACCCACTGTCCGAGGGAACCGGCCGGCCCTAGGACTGAGGTGGTCTTAGGCGCCCGAAGCCCGGTTAGTAATTAAGCCTACTTATTTGAAATCTCA